GGATTGGTAATATGATATTAGCTAAATTTTTCCAAGTTCAGATGGATTTTCCTCTAAATAGGATGAGAGGAAAGCGTTCCTAGACAAACTATTGGAAGCAGGAAAGTGAACATGATGAATGAAAACAAATTATGCAATACATCTGAGAATAAGAGGAGTCAAAGAGGTAGTCACTCATCCTCCTTAAGCCCAGTATGGGTTTATGAATCTTGGATTTTCTAGTGATTTGTTCTTGTCCTTACTGAGAGCCTGAGGATAATGCAAGCTTTTAGTTCCCAAGGGCTCCTGCCCTGCAGCGAGTAGGACATGTTTTACCACAGAGACTGAGGGTGGTCAAGGTCACAATGTATAAAGGCCAAAATAGCCAAAATTTAGGTTGAATTCTCTATGAGAACGGTGATGCAAAGGAATCCTTGCTCTTTAGGATAACTCTGAGTCTAGCCCAGATTTTGAAGTTGTATGGCTCTTATCTTGGTACAAATAGAAAACCATAGAAAAGCTATTCAAGGTTGTCTTAACTCAAGCTGATGCTTGTGGGGACATTACCCTTTACTGAATAGGTTTTAAAAAGCCCACCAAACAAAATTAAGTATACCAAATGATTAGCATGAGCCCTTCAGTGATGTTATTCTCAGTTCTGTCTGCTAACTTGAGGTGGGATGAAAGGTAAATTGGGTACTTCAGTACAACGTACTAAGATGCTTCAATTTCTTTTGACAACATGCTATCTGAGCAGATCCATTTTTAGGGGAATACTAAATAAAAAACTAGATGGCAGCTTTCTAGGTCAGGAACTGCTAGACCTCTATTATTTTAAACAGCTTGAAGCACTGCAATATTCAGCCAGTGTGTGTGTGTGTGTGTGCTGTTTTAGGATATTTTACGACAGGGGTTTGTAAAGTTCCAAGGCTATGCTTTAGCAATAAAAAATAGTGCCTCATGTATAAAGTGCAGGAACTCAGGGATTTTATTTTCCTGAAGGTAACTTCAGTTGCATTTTTTTTAAAGTACAAGCATACTTTAAGAACTGCATTTAGTCAGCTGCCGACTAATGGCTCTCTTACCTTTTCATGAAGTAGATAATGACTTTGCATAGAATATCAAACGCAATAGTAACAGACCACAGTAATGGAAGAAGAATTCTTCATTATAAAGTTATTACATTACAGGAAACATTGACAAAATTGAAAGCTTTATAAAGAAAATATCACTAGGTTTTGATGAATACTACCTCTTTTACTGTGTTTGCTAGTTGTTTTTTTTTTCCCTAATTGTTTTTTGAAAGGTTCATTTAATGCATTTCAGATGATTTTTGAAAACTGAAACATAAAGCACTTAATGGGAGCTAGAACACCATGTAAGGGTCTGTAATAAATTCATATATTGACACTATAGATTTCTCTTATATCTTAATATCTCTTTTGCACTCTAGATGCCATCTCAAAAAATAAACTTCCTACAGAGCATATGGATCAAATTTTAGCCAGCAGTGAGAAAATTGTTGATTTGGCACCAGGTGTTTGTGACCCACAGAGTACCTTTACAGACAGCCAAGTCATCAGTTTCCTTTTCTGCTAGGCAGTGGCAGCTCTGACTTCTGAGGAACACCTTCCTTGCATGTAAAGCCTGGGTAACTTAACTCCAGCAATGATGAATAGGTACTGCAAGTGCCCATAACTGTGAAAATTCAGTGCTCAGCATTGGAGCTGCAGCAATCTTATTCCTGAAAAATGGATGACAGGACCAAAATTATGTAGAATACTGTGGAATTATTTAACGGGCCCCTACTGTGGTGAAGTCCTCGAACTAAGTCAGTCAAACCAGAAACAACCTATCAAAACATGCACACTCTTCTCTTGGTGAGAAGAGCAGATGGGAAAACCCACCAACATATGATAGATGGGAAGATGGTAAAGAAGCATGGAGCTCAGATATCGCAGGTGCGGACAAAGGATAAGAGCTGAATAGAGTGTGGTCATAAGCATCTTAAAATTATCTCTGTTCTTTTGTCCCTCTCCCTGTTTTTCTGGAATCTTATGGTTTTTAGTTTGCATGGTGCATATAATTTGAAATTGGGGCATCTTTCATTTTTTGATGCCTGTGTGCAAATTCTTGCAGTCGTTTCTGTTCTTGCAGTTCAGTCCTGAGTGCTATGTAGATGTGCATCCTGTATACTGTTCCTTAAAGAAAAATACCTAGAAAATGGAACAAGGATCAAGCAGAGCACAATACAGAGACTATGAGCAATTCAGTTGCTCACACAAAAAAGACTGTTGAGAGTAATATGAATTTATGCATGTCCCAAATGGTAATTGAATCCAGACTTTTTAAAAATTCTGTGATGCTTTGGTATTAAAGTGAAAGTTCATTTTAAAAGACCTGTTTTAATACAAATTTTAAAAACTATCTTTAAATATCTTAAATTAAAAAAAAAAAAAAAATCCCCTAACAAGCGAGAGGAGGGATATATTCATCTCTCCGTGCTTACTTGCAAATCACAGGTATTTATTGATACCCACCTTAGTGTGGCTTAAATCTAGCAATAGTTTTTATGCTTTCTTGGAAAGAAGAGGAAAAAAGGCTAACAGTGAAGTTCCTTTCCCTACTCTATCATGTCACTGAGCTGATGCTCTCTGCAGGAGACGCCTGCACTCCCCTACTTCAGCACGCAGAGAGCTTTCTGTCAGAGAGCTGCTGGAGACCTTCAGCTAGGAAACAGTAACATGAAGCTCTTGGTAAGGAACTGTCTGTGTTCATGTCTCCCTAAAGTGCCTAATCCATATCAAAGGATAACCTGTCAGTTAAGCGTTATGGGAACTGTGGGATTACGAGATGTGCCTGTTTAGAAAGCTAATTCTCCATTTGGCCTTGGAAACTTTCCCAGCCACAGTAGGATTGCTAGTGTGTCTCCCAAGCCAACCGGAAAATCTAGATTATATGTCTGGGTAAGAATTAAGAGAGGGAAAAGAAGGCCTAGGGAAATAGGAAGCAAAAATGACAACAGATACTAGGAAGATCCAGCATCCTTAGAGATATTCAAAAGCCCTCCAGGAAGAGTGCTGGGCAATCAGCTCTTGGTGACCCCGGTCACCCAGGTCCCTTCCAACCTCAACCATTCTGTGATTATGTGGGAGAAAAATAAGAAACACAACCAAAACCTTGAGGTTTTAACACTGAGAACTTAGGATCTAGCTAACTGCACAATAGGCAATCATAGACAGTTACACTATATTTAAAAAACCCTTCAATAAGTTCCCTTTTGTATCTGTATTGCTGATAGTCTTGTCTGTTTTCTTCGGTCCTCTTACTGGTCTACACAGAGCAGTGGCAGTTTGCAGGTCCTGGTGCAGTCAGGTCCCAGCAGGTCTGGAAGTACTGCTGCTTTGAAAAGTCAGGCTGTGTAGGGCTACAGAAACATATGTTCTCATTTTTGGCTCATGGGAGGGAGGCAACATTTTGCAAAGTGAGAGACTTGTCTATTGGAGCAGTCTGGGTACTGGTGAGATTTGTGAAATTTTACAAACATCCTCATCTGATGGGAATCATTAGAGCTACTATAGAGAACCTGCATCACTGGCAATTACCCTTATGATTGTGTGATCCTCATTAGGCTGATTAAACTAGCTTAGCACCATATTATTTAAGTGGCACCAGGCAAAGCAGCTGTACTTTGCTGGAGATGAATGCTAAAACTCTGAGCTGATATGAATTTTAGAAGACTTCCAACACGCTAAAAATCCAAATTTAAAGAGGCTATTTTTTAGATGGCTACTATGGAAAATAAACACTGCCTCACTGAGACTGGGATGAGCAGTGAAACTGAGCATGTTCCAGCAAAACTAGTAAAGGATTCTACAAGCTATTGTTTGTGTTACAGGGTGCATTGCAAACTCTCTTTTTAATACACTTACACCTGGCCTCCTCCTGGATGGAGGCATGAGCTTGAGGTCAGTAAGGAAGACTTTGAAGTCAAACTACAGTCAATGGCTGTAGGAGCAGAACTCATGATCTTTTGATTCCTGAGAAAACTCATCCTTTTCTTTAACAGATTCTGACTCTTGCATTTGCAGAACACTGCTTGACTGGGAGCAGGTAGTCTGATTCAGCAGATGTGCTGAATGTCCCCAATACTCTTCAAAGCTGTTTTATGCTTTTTAAAAAATCATATGAAAAAATAAGATATGTCTTTTTCATTTTTTTTTCCTAAAAAAAACCCAAACAACCAAACAAAAACCAAACAGGTAAATGCTGGTACAGCAGAATCAGTTATTGCAGAAGAACAGAAGTGTCAAATCCCAAGAAGCATGTTTTTTGTTTGTTCTTCTCTAGAGAGAGGAAAATAAAGCTGGTTATGACCCTGCTTCCGGAAAAGGTGGGGAACTAATTACTTGAAGTGGAGAAAGAAGAAACAAATACTGCTTCTTTGGTGTAGCCGTTAACTCATTACTCCCCGTCACCAACTGGAAATTTCTTATTTACTCCAGTGGGTTTTGGCTGAGAGCCCCTGGCTCTTGGAGGGAGCTCGACACAACCTGCGACCAGGGTGCACCTACACAGCGACGCACGTTATGTATTAGGATGCTCGGCGTCGCTAATTGGGAATTTCATCGGTGTCGTAGGAAAGACAACCCTGTAAGATTTAAAAATAATTTAAACAACGTTAAGGAAAAGCGCTGGCTGTAACCCCTGTACCCCCATTCCGGGCTCGGCTGAGCGACTCGCTTCTCCCCCCCCCCCCCCTCCACTCGCTGAAGTTTGCGAGTGGCGGTCAGGCCCTTCACGCCGGGCGGCCCACGGCGCTCCCCCCTCCCCTCAGGCCTGGGGGGGGGTGAAGCGGGACCGGGCGGGGTGCCTGCCAAAACGCGGGGAGCGGGAACCGCGCTCCGCCGGGGGCAGAGCCCGTCCCCGTGAGGCGGCGGAGGGAAGGCGGCAGCGCAGCCCCCGCCTCCCGCCCGCTCTCCTCCCCCTCCCCTCGCTCCCGCCTTTTGTGCGCCGGAGCCCGGGCGTCAACGGGCGCCAGCGGCCGCGGCTGCTGGCAGGAGCCCCCGGCCATTGGCTTCGGCAGCGGCGCCGTGGCGAGGGCGGCAGCCCCAGCCGCGGCTCTTCCCGTCGCCAAGGCGCTGCCAGGCACAGGCACACACAGACAGACAGACAGACAGACGGGCTCGGGGGCCGCCTTTGCAGCTCTTCTCCTCCCCGCACCATGCTCCGCTCCGGGCAGCGCCCGCCCGCTGCTCCCTAAGGGCTGCCGCCCCGCGCCTGGTTAAAGCGGGCGACCGGCACCTGGTTCCCCCCCCCCTTCCCCCTTCCCCCCCGGTTACCTGAGTTAGCTCCGTCCCGGGGAGTTGGGGCTGCCGCCCCTTCGCAGCGCCCCTCCCCGCTCCCGCGGCGGCAGCCCTTGGGCGGCGGGGGGAGCCGGCAGCCGGAGGGACAGCAGCCGCCGCCAGGGGAGCGGAGCTCCAGCCCCCGCCTCCGGAGCTCTTCATGGCGTCTCACCAGCAGACCAGGATCCAAGCCTACCTGGAGAAGAATAAGATCGGTCCCCTCTTCGAGGTAAGGTGCGCTCTCGCCGGCCGGCTCCTCCGCGGCGGGGGTGCCCCCCCCCCCCCCCCCCCGCGATGGCCGCGGGTCCCCGCGCAGCACAGGTGAGCGCAGGGGAGGGGACGAGTTTGAGGCGCCGCTTCGGCTCCTGCCCTCCGGGGAGGGGAGGGCAGCGCCGGTACCCCCTGCCCCGCCGCCTCGCACCACGCGTGTGCCCGCCTCCACGCCCCCCTCCGAGCGCCGGAGCTCCGCGCAGGATGCGCCCCGCTTCTTCGCCCCGCCACGGACGCGCGGGTCGTGAAACAGGTGCCGCTTCGCCGTGGCGCTCGCAAGTGTCGTGTGTGGTTTCCCGCCGCGCCGCGTCCCCTGGAGCGGCGAGCCGCGCCGCGGGGGGGGGGGGGGGTGGGCGCCGCACGGCCCGTGGGCGAGACCCGCAGCGCTGCCCCTCCGTGACCGGCTGGTGGGGACGGGGAGGTGGGTGCCTGCCCACCGGGAAACCCGCCCTCCGGACCGGGCGCTCGGGAGGAAATCTGTCCTGCGAAAAGTCCGTGTCGATGGTGTTTTCTGAAATTTTCATCTGCAGCCGTACACTTGGGAACGATGTTTTTTTTTTTTTTGCTGTAGGTTTCCCTTGGTCTTGCAAAGATGCACTCGCTTGGATTTGTAGATGCACAGATGTGCAGAGTTTACTATTTCTGTGCATGAGCTATGAATACTTAGAATTTAAAGGGATACTAGGGCAATCGTGGTTATTACCGTTCTATCATCCTGTTTCTCATACAGTTTTTTGCATCTAAATGCACATATGCTATACTCGGGCAGAATTATCTCAAGACACGAGTCTCCCTTTTTCAGTATTTAACTTGCTCTCAATCAACCTTACTATCTGTGAAATCTCTTTTATTTTGGTGTGGTGGATGCCTTGTCTTCAGTGTATGTTTTGGGTGGCATTTGCCAGCCCTTATAAGAAAGGTTCAAATTTTGTTAGAAAACTGCTTGCTAAGGATCAGTTTTAATATCTTGCATGGACTGGGGCTGTTGTGACAGATAGGTTGGCTCAGTGTCAGAAGTGTCAGATATTTTCATTTTGCAATAAATAAAATCCCATTTGATGGAACCGTAACTGGCTACTAGGGAACAGCAGGTAATTTTTCTAGTTCTGGAATTCATAGAAACTGAAACATTTGTGCGGTTCAATTGCTGAATAAAAGACTGTTCAATCAACACAGTTGCTAGGGCTATATATGTAACTGACTCCTGGATATTTCAATGGGAATTAAGTGCCTTGGGGCTGTTGAAGAGTTAGGCCCTAAACAGCTGTCATTTCCTTCTATATTTTCTTAACCCATTGTTTTACACATTAAAATTCAAAGTGCTTGACATCACTGTTCTGAATCACTGCATTTTAACCTAGTTTCTCAGTAGTGTAAGATGTTCATCTCTATTGTTTAAATAGGAGGATGCTTTAGTTACCCTTAGCGGAGGAAAAAAAAATGCAGAAGTTGTATTTGTTACAACATTTCATACATCGCTAAATATTTCACCAATCACTATAATGTAGGAGTTTCATCATGGTAGAAAGAATCTGTGGAATGCTCTTTGCATAACCTTGCAGGCTGTCTACAGGTTGTTAATGCACTCCTGTATGCCAGGAAGAGATTTTTGTGTGAAATCCACTTAGACCTGAATACTGGGGGATGGATTTAAAGTACATTGCTGTAGCATTCATGTAGCTGTTTAAAGTTATTTTAATCGATAACACTGGGAGGAAGAGGATCGTAATTCTTACCTCCTCCACTTCCTGATTAGCTATTTAAAACTTACTTATAAATTTCATTTTGGTGATGTATTTTTTGTTCTCAACAGTTTTTTGAAAATCTACAACCTGTGCTTGATCTTTTAGTCCTTAGTAAGGGGAAGACATGTATTTGAAGTTGATGGGAATTGGTCGAAGACTATGCACAGGGTGAAGCTTATGCTCTATACTAGTATTCCTATTAGATACGCGTTGTGGTGTATCAAGAATACCCTGTATTCACAGTTGGATATATTCACTAACGCATAAGTTTTTTTCACGTCTCTAGAAGTTCTGACACATTGAGAAGAGAGACCTATGCTTCATCTTTCATTCAGGAACAGCTAGCATTTTCTTACACCACTTCTGGTTTTGATGCTAATTAATCACCACTTGTCATGGATGACAGCCATCTTTTTTTGCAGTGAGTACTAATTTTCTAATACCAACTCAGAACAGAGTGGTCTTGGATTCAATTTTCTGCAGTGTTATTTGCTGAGCAGGTTGTGACTGTAATCGCTCGATAGACGCTTCAAGCCAGCATTTTAGGGAATGCATAAAATAATACTGGGTAATTGAGGACAGTCGCAGTAAAGAAGAAAGTTGAGGGAGGACATGCAGGCTTTCTGAGGTGAAGGCAGGAATGGTGGTACACAAACAGATGGTATTGCATACTTCCATAATGACTGGTCAGTGATTAGGAGGACTCTACACCATAGATCTTAGACAGTTACGCAGGCACCATTAGCTGATGGCTGGAACAGTCCGTGGTTTCCTGATGAAGTACAATTCCCCTGCATTACAGTCAAGAGCAGTAGATGCTGCTACTTGCCAGTTGGTCATTCTGTTCTGGTTGCTTGCAGTTATCCTGGTCCTGTTTCTTTGTTCTGTCCTGTATTTGTGGCCTTTTGTTGCTGTGGTTAGGGCTTTTTGTGCTTCCTTAACCAGCAGTATCTACTTAAGAACATCTGTTCTTTTGGACTTTGCCCCTTTTTCTTTTTTTTTTTTTTTTTTTTTTTTTAACCTTCAGTGCATGCTGCATATGCAGATCAGTTCAGTTTTATTTCTTTGCTGAAGTTTTGTATGGTTTGACACTTGAATTACCTTTCTAATTTGTGTAAAAGAGAAGCGCTGACATGTGAGATGAAGGAAGACTGTAGGCCCTCCCTTGGTTAAAAAGTTGTTTCCATCTCTATAAAGAAAGGTAGGAGTAACCTTCTGGAGAAAGAATTAATGAGCTTAGGCTGACTCAGCAGGCATCAGTCTTCTACTGACTACCAGTACCTGTTAACGGGTAGTAGGAAGTCCTATCCACTCAGCTATGAATGGTAACACACAGATTCACTTGATTCCAAACATTTTTACTAGTTGAATTCTTATTTATGGCTTAGAGGTGGGAAGGAAGGTGGGTGGGAATTGGTGTGTACATCTGAGACTGTGTCAATTTTGAGACTTAAGACAGATTGCAAAACAACTTCAATACTTCAGCCTCATTTCCCCCTGTTGAATGTAGGTCCTCAAATCATGGTTTTTCAAAACTGTTGCTTGTCTGCCATTTCATCTTCCCGGTGCCTATGGCTTTTGCAGATAAAATTCCTGTGAACTTATAGGTCAACTTCTAAATGCCCCAGGCCATGCAGGTGTTGTTAGTGCTGATAGTAATGTCTTAACTCCTTAAATTCCGTCAGGTTTCATGAGCTGGCTTATCCTGTTTTGTGTAGGTTCTGTGTGTTGTGGCTTTATTTTTTTTTCTTTTGCTTTTGAAAGCTTTGACATCTTTCTGTAAGAGATATTGGCATCTGAGAATACTGTGGTTAGACACCTAGTTTAGATTTGAGGAATGCCCTTTAGAAACGCCTCTCTTCTTGGATTTTTGTGGTAACACGTAGCATAGCACTACCTGATTTTTTTTAGATTTCTTCTTTTTTTTTTTTTTATATATATATTTAACTTGGAATGTAACAAGAATTCTAAATATGAATTATTTCTGCAATGAAGCTTCACTGTTGTTTTTTTTCCATCTTTCTAAAATGTGAACAGGAGGTGTGTGCCTAAAATTGGCTGGGACAGAGTATTCAGAATCAGCACCCACTCATTTCTGTCTGAGTGAAGTATTGACCCACTTTGCATTTCAAGCATCCAATCCAACACATTCTTTTTGTGTGCTAATAATCTCAATGAATAATCCTGCTGTCTGTGAGTATCTATACATCTAGACTTCTATATGGCTGTGTCGCTTCAGCATCCAGTTGTGTTCTCATTTGGGCAACCTGACAGTTTCTGTGAATTTGAAAGCTGGATCAGCACTCTTAAGAACAGATTGCAATAAATCTTCAACAGCTCTGAGATAAATTTAGTGTTTTGGAATTTTCTTATTTATAGAACTGCAGCTAAAAAGCATCCGACAGGTACATTGTTGTTATGCAAACCAGAAGACTGTAATTTCTTTGAGTTATAAAAAGCCAGAATAACTCTCCTCAAAATAAACATAACAAACCCTGGGTTACCTAAGAATTTTTCTTGAAGTAATATGGGTTTAGAACTGTAATTTTTATTTTGAACAACATAAAGGCTGTGTTCTTATTACCACAATTACCTTGTTTTCTTTTAGCAGACAGAATTCCTGAAGCAAATATAATAGGAAGCTAATATTGTTAAATTTATGGTATGGTTTTTTTTTTCTTTTTTTTTTTTTTTCCCTAAATGAGATGGCATTATTGTTATATATTATGTACTGGCTTCCATTATTTAATTGAAATAAAATAACTATGCTTCTGACTTAAACCTTAACACATCCCAATGCACATCTCTGGTGCCTCACAGTAATAATAGTGCACCTTGTGACTGAGTTAGTCAAAGTTCAGGAATTTTGGAGTTTGGACCATCTTCTGAAGCACAGTTTGCCCTCAATTCTTAAATATATGAACGTAGACACAGCTAAACTGTCTCAGTTACCAGTTTAAGATTCCTCACAGTATCAAATTACATTATGAGTTGCAATATCTGCAATGTGAATGATAGGGATGCTCTTTAATTGTTTTCTTTCAAACTTGCTCAAATCAACTTTTATCTTATTTTGATGTTATGCTTAGTTGGTTAGATTCTGTTGCTAGCATGAAAGGGTCTGTATTGTGGATGATGTCAATTTACATGGAGAAGCATTTAATTTCAGGCAGCTAGATGGAGCCTTTGGAAGACCAGGCTTTTCAGTACTCAG